CTTCTTGGTTAACACACTTGACTCTACTTTGTGTGCATACTGCTGTGCGTCCATGTAAAGCTTCTCACCTTCAATGAGGTATCGTGATGCTCGATGCTTTGCTCGTTTTCGATCATGAAGCAGTCTTGTTGAGTCTAACTGCCCAATAGACTTGATGACCTGGAGAAATACTGGCTCCTTGGTAAATATTTGTCATAAGCTAGAAAAAGTATCTGCATCAGCATCATTACTCATGAATAAGATATTGTTAGTCAAGCTGCTATTCGTTTCCCAGTCTTCACTGACTGTCTAAGTGCTCCCATCCTCTAGCCCTTCTCTGTGTGGCTGGCCCTCCCATTGTCAACTTAAGCCATCTGCAATTACATTCAGTTTCCCTGGTATGTGTCGCACATCTATGATATTGTGGGCCAGGATGCTGTCTCTCCAGTGCACATGTGCTGCATTTAGGTTGTTGTGCAGTGCCCGACAATCTGTTCTATCTTGACTTGAAATCCCCAGATTGTGTCTGAGAATTTATCAAGTCTGAACTTGAGGGTTGCAGATTATAATAGAAAAGGCTTGTAGTTTTGCTCGGTTCTCACTTTGGTCACCCCTTTTTAGATACCTCTTAGGTTGATTGTGGTCTATAGAGGTTTGTACCTAAGAGGTATGTTTCTGCTGGTCTCTCCAATGTTCCATGGTCCTTCCCTATTATTTTTGTGGACCAAAAGAGGATGTACTGCACATGGACCATAGACCACTGGGACCATGTCATGGAAAGTACCACAAGGTATTTTGGACCATATATCTAATGGATTTCTGCAAATATATAGGAGTGTCTGGGGTCACAAACCACCTTAATTTTCAATCGTTTGTGGTAATTTTCTGTTGATTCTGATGATGAATAGCATTAGACTACAATGAATGTTTGTGTTATATCTACCATATATAACCATATAATGGCTGAATTTGTGGATGCAATTGTATCTTGCTCAATTTGGTGTCTTGCTAAGAACAACTTGATGAAGTTCCAAGATATAAATAGACACCCATACATTCCGAAGTCTGGTAGTATCTTCGGTCGTATCTTTTTAGTTCTACTATAATCCAACTAATCCCTTCACACTAACAATACAAAGGATACACTGTGACAATCAAGCCTGTGCTAGGCTTGTATGATTGCATTCCCATATATATCTACATGTTACTGCCATACCTGGACCTACCTTCCTTATCTGTCACTCAGCCAAGCCTCTTTGACCAGTCCACACCCTATGTCCACCCATGTCCTGTCCATTGGTGCATAATGGTGTGGTATAGTTGTTACATGCTTTCGCTGCAAGTACGCTGGCTGAATCTTTACAGATGCATATCCCCATGCACCTATGCTTGCTACTGACTTCACCTGTACATTCTGGAGTTTTACACAGTACAATGAAAAGAGCTGCAGAGTTGATAGCTAGGATGCTTCCCTCCCTCGGACCTTGGTAGTCGTCACCTAGTTTCTCAATAGTTTGTGCAATCATTACCTTTGTTGATACTCACTTTTGACTGTTGGCTACTTGACCGCTCTAAGCGCCGTGAATAACTTACCTTTGTTGGACCCCTACCAGAAGTGCTGAACCATGGTACTTGTGGCCTCTGCCTTACCTTTGCCTAGGCGATTTCGCCCTTCCTAGTTACCTTCGCCTGGACGCCTGGTTTTACCGGCAGTATCTTCTGTCATGATCCCATGGTAGAAAACAAAATTGGCAAGAGCGGATATATGGAGGACATCAGCCATGGAGGCAAGAGCAGAGTATTCACCAAGTGAGTGTCTAGCAAGGATATTAGAGACTAACTAGGGCAAACCACAAAGACATTGTAGCCTAAGTAGGGCAGACCATATCTCATATAGGGCGGGCCATGGCACCATTATAGACTAATTCGGGAGGACCATATATCATATAGGGCGGACCACAAAGACATTATAGACTATGTAGGGCAGACCATACCAACAGTATAGACTAATTCAGGAGGACCATATGTTATGTAGGGGAGACTGCAAAGACATTACAGCCTACCTAGGGCAGACCACACCAACAGTATAGACTAACTAGGGCGGACCATATATCAGATAGGGCAGACCACAACACCATTATAGACTAACTAGGGAGGACCATGTGTCATATAGGGTAGACCATGGTGACATTATAGACTAACTAGGGTGGACCATATGTCATGCAGGGCAGATCGCAAAGACATTATAGCCTACGTAGGGTGGACCATATGCCTTGTAGGGCAGACCACACCAACAATATAGACTAACTAGGGCGGACCACAACACCATTATAGACTAATCTGGGAGGACCATATGTCATGTAGGGCAGACCACAAAGACATTATAGCCTACGTAGGGCAGACCACAACACCATTATAGATCAATAGGGTGGACCACAACACCATATTAGGGAGGACCATATGTCACATAGGGCAGAATGCAAAAACATTATAGCCTACATAGGGCAGACCACAATGACATCATAGACTAACTAGGGCTAGGCAATGGCACGGGTAACCTGTGGGTATCCACGAGTGTACCTGCACCCGTACCTGCCCTAGGGGTATGGGTATTTGAAGGGTCAACAAGCTGAGACCCCTACCCAACCCACAAGTACCCCTACCCATGACCCACATGGGTATCCAAAACCCATGACATTGCCTAACTAGGGCGGACCGCAACACCATTATAGACTAATTAGGGAGGACCATATGTGACATAGGGTGGACCGCAACCCCATTATAGAATAATTAGGGAGGACCATATGTCACATAGGGCAGACCACAATCCCATTATAGAATAATTAGGGAGGACCATATGTCACATAGGGCAGACTGCAACCCCATTATAGACTAATTAGGGAGGACCATATGTCATGTAGGGCAGACCGCAAAGACGATATAGTCTACATAGGGCGGACCATATGTCATGTAGGGCGGATTGCAACAACATGATAGACTAACTAGGGTGGACCGCAACAACATGATCGGAATGCTGTACTGTATGAATCTATGATGTCGGTCCAGTACCCCCACCAAGAAAATTGATGAATTGCGCAAAATGGTATATGTGAGTTCTTTCTGTCTGTGTCACAACCCTTTAAACGAATTAACGCTGGGGCAGAGACTAGGACTCAAACAAAGGTTATCTAACAGAGAGAGAAAGGATAGCAGGGACGTCTTAGGATTGCTAGCAGTAAGCTAATACAAAAGAGGTTTGAACTGGAGAACTACCGACTACAACGAGCTACCTATATACATATATTAAAGCGGAGACTGAATCTGAATCTGAACTAACTAGCCAATCATTAAATAGAGAAGGGAATCGTACGATGTTCTAAATATAACTACACTATGATGTCATGGAACGTGTGATGGCTGTGCAAGGGTTCTGGAAGGTTCTGGAGTCACGTGACTTAATCGCTTGAGTAAGGAAGTCAAAGTCAGGAACGTCGGAGATAGAAGTAGTGGGCGCTAATGGAATAGAGAAGTTCGGGTTAGGGTTTTGTAAAGATTATAGGTACAGACGCTGACTGAGCGCTAACGACGGGCGCTTGTGATGGGCGCTTAACGGGTGTCTTACGAGTGTTTAAGAAAGAATAATGGTTTGTATTTGGAATTCGTGACAGTCTGTCATATGCACATGCAGGTTAACTATAGACTAAGTAGGGCAGACCATATGAGATAGTGTGACATACAAGTTACAGGGACAAGATAACCCACCCCACCCCCTTATTACACACCTTTTGACCGATAGGATGGGCACGGCGTGTCGACAATGGATCCAACAATGGGACCACCCTTGTCAACAATGTTGAAGGGAAAGTGTTTGATGTCACACTTTAATTCCAAGTCAACCATCATTTGACCGACAGGATGGGCACGGCATGTCGACAATGGATCCAACAATGGGACCATCCTTGTCAACAACGTTGAAGGGAAAGTGTTTGATGTCACACTTTAATTCCAAGTCATCCATCATTCGACCGATAGGATGGGCGCGGCGTGTCGACAATGGATCCAACAATGGGACCACCCTTGTCAACAATGTTGAAGGGAAAGTGTTTGATGTCACACTTTAACCCCAAGTCATCCATCATTCGACAGATAAGATGGGCATGGTGTGTCGATGATAGGTCCAACAATGGGACAGCAGATGTGGTCCATAGGGTATCCCCTACATGATTTAAAAGGACCACCTAAGGTCAGACCCAGATAACCCCCCATATGTGCTCAATTCATCATACAACTATTGTCTATGCACTCATTTTTCTTTTTTACAATTTGATCGGAATGCTGTACGGTGTGACAATATAGTTTTCCCTGGGCTGATATTACCCCTTTTTACTTACCTTCACTTACCCACTTTCCTTAGTTTATGTTCGCATTTTACTGCTTACATAATCATGTCTCCCTTTCACCAATGTCAGTACCAGTCTGAATCACAGTCTTTTGCTTGATGATATTTCTACTCTCTGAGCTCTGAGTCTAGTACAGAAACCCTTTAGGGTCGAATAGCAGCTAGGCATAGCAATTTTGACCCAACATTTGAAGAGTACTTTACAGAGTTCTCTTCTTGTTGTGTTTCCCACAACGGTATGAATCTATGATGTCAGTCCAGTAGCCTCGCGAAGAAAAAATTGATGAATTGCGCAAAATGGTATATGTGAGTTCTTTCTGTCTGTCATATGCACACGTGGGTTAACTATAGACTAATTAGGGCAGACTGTATGAGATAGTGTGACATACAAGTTACAGGGACAAGATAATCCACCCCACCCCACCCCCTATGCATTCACTTCATCACACACATTTTTTCTTCTCCAGATCACCCCTCTATGCAATCACTTTATTACACACCTTACATGTCTTGATGACACCACCACCCAGATACAATAGCACAGAGGATGTGACAGAAAATATTTTATTAAAAAATACACTGCATTTTAAATGTTGCGCCACTTGTGTAATGATTTTATAGGGGAAGAAGGCATGAAGTCATCACCAATGTCATCCAAGTCATCCAAGTCATCCAAGTCATCCAAGTCATCCACGAACTCCTTATTCTGGCCATACCTATATTCATCCGCCAATGCAATCTCCTCAATAGCATCAATCAGTTCCTCATCTTCAATTTCACCATACTCCAGGTCACTCTCACAATCACCCTCTCTATCTCCTTCCAAACTCTCATCATCATCCTCATCCCGAAATGACGATCATGCCTGATTATAAGCGGCTTGAACCAAAGCTTTGTCTGAGGGTCCCCAACTCACAATCATAGGCCACGCGCACGGAATACACTGAACCTTTTTCCTCCAGATGACACAGATGTTGACAAGTTCATCTGTGCGAGACTCAAGGTGGAAAGACATCACTGGATCTGTGACTGTGAAGTAATTAGATACTGTTAATAACATTGCACACTGATGCACCTGCTTTATTCAAGGCAGTTTGTGTACTGTCCCACTCTGCTAACATCCATTCTTGAATGACGGCCCTCTCCCGCATCAGTTGAGCCTCCTCCTCATTGCACCGATCAACTTCAAGTTGCCACCGGATACCATTCCTGACCATGTCATCCGATAGCCACGCTGGAGGGTTCAAAGTGTCATCATCCAGTCCAACATCTTGCCAGATGTTGTCATCAATGTCAAGCTGAAAGATGCCATCACGCAAGATGATATGAGGTGGAACAGCAGAATGGGGTGCTTGCCGCTGTCATATAAGAGACTGTAGTTGCGAACACAAACTGTTGTAGGTAGAAATTAATTTGAGGATGCCAGGCTCTTGGTGTTTGATTGAGTGTTGCGTATTCACATGAATTTTATGCTCAGCTGGAAAATTATGAGATGTATCAGTGTAATCAAACTATCAACGCACCATTGACTGTAGCTCTGTACAATCTCTCAAGTCTCTCCAATTCAAACTTTCGCTGATGAAGGCGGTCACGGAGCCCATTCAGTAACTTTTTCCCGTGTTAAACGGCCACCCAGAGGTTGAGATTCTTCCATAGGAGATGGGCCAACTGAGGTGGGCCCATAGACAAGTTCAGGCCGATAGTCATGGCCGGGCCCATGATGTTCGTGATGCTTCAATATGAATGGCCCGGCCCACGGGTGGCAACTGACAGGACGGTTGGGCCTGAAGGGTATGTGATGATGAGCTGGTGGTGGTGGGCCAGGCCCGAATGGCGATGTAGGATTTAAGGGCCGGGGCCCAGGGTGATGATGCACAATCTGACGGCCGGGCCCAGGATGATGTAGGATTTGACAGTTGGGCCCGAGGGATGTGGATGGGAAATGATTGTATGACCGGGCCCAGGTTGATGATGTAGAATTTGACGGCAGGCCCGGGTATGGTTGTGGCTAACAACTGGGCCCAAGGTGATGATGCCGGTCTCGACGGTCGGGCCCAGGGTGATGATGTAGGATTTGACAGTTGGGCCTGATAGATGTGGATGGGAAATGAGTGTACGACCGGGCCCAGGTTGCTGATGTAGGATTTGACGGGTGGGCCCAGTCGTGATATTATTCAATGACCAGTGTCCTCTTACTTAAGGGTCTTATATACAACACGTATATAGTGACAGCACAACTATATAGGATAAGACTTCTTGCCAGTCCTTAAGTACACGGTCTATGACTTTTCTAGTTTTCATGGTAGATAACATGTGAGTTCTTGGGAGGGTTTACTTAAAAATGTCCCCTTCTTGCTTTCTCTCTGTAGGTTTGCTTCGAGGTCTTTGTCAATTAAATAGGTTTATTTCACCCTATGAAAGCTTGCCTCAGTATGAAGTAGTTCTCTTAGCTTGATTCTCCCTTCCTGTGAAAGAGAGAGATTATTTATATGTGTGAAGTTTAGTTTAAGTTTAGTAGGTTAGTTTGTTATATAGTTAACCCCTGTAAGGTAGTATATAACTCAGATAGATGTTTCTTAGTCTTACTTCAAGGCACTAGATTTGCCTGCACTTTATTTCTTAGGTAATCTCACTTGATTTGAGAACAGGGTTTAAAGTGGGAAGCTTAGATTGACAGTGGCAAAATGGGCTCCTTTTATACCTTTTTGGAGGCCATCTTACTAAGCATGATTCAGCACATGGATTGGTAAGAACATTCTTACAAATCAATCCTTTTGGTGTGTTGAGTCAGCTTGTTTACTAACTAGCTTATTAATACAATGTAATATTACAAAGAAAGATGAATAAAAACATGAGTCATCCCAAGGATTGGTAAGAACATGCTTACAAACCAATCTTTTGAGTGAGCTGAATCAGCCTTCTTACTAAGTAGCTTATAAATACACTTGCAAGTCTTACAAAGCATGACGAATCATGACAAAAACATGATGAGTCAAGTTGAATCCTTACAAATCAGATTATTGACCAGTCACATGACAAGCTTACAAACATGCTTTGTGGCTGGAGAGGAAGTCTGATGGATAAATATGCCTAGAAAAATGGAAACAGATAGAATCTCATGGAACAAAATAGAAATACATGGAAAAATGGAAGTGAAGTTTTGAAAGTGAAAATACTAGCTAATAACTAAGGGAAAAATGATGGGTAACTTGGTGATAGGATACATTCTGGTGTATTATACCTCCCTTATTACTCCTGCTATGTATATGTCATGGTATGAGTCACATACCATGCATGACATCCATCCAGCACGAGAAATTGCAACTGTCCTCAGTTGAGGTGTTTGTCATAAAGGTTAATTTAGTCTGTCTCTTCTCCATCTGTTTTCAGGGTCTGCAAGGTGAAAACATTCCTCTAGAATCCTAAAAAACTCGAAGTATACTCCACATGTCGGACATAGTTGATACAATACTTCCTGGTGACTTCTGTCCCAGTAGTATAACATTTGTCTATAGTGAATACTGATGTCATGAAATATGAAATCTTCATGGAGCTTATTACAATCATCCAGAAGAACATCAAAGAAACTGGAAATTTCATCCTGCCATCCTGCTTGATATGTGTGGTCTTTACTGTTCATGTTTGATATGAAAAATAATAATAATAAGTCACTCATCCTGTAAGAGGGAAGAAGAATCTGAGTCAGATGATGATAAATTTTCCTCAGAGTGTTGAGTGTTGACAAGGGTGTCAGAAATTTCGCGTAAGGCAGGATCACTTTGACTGATATATGGAATTAGTCTAAAGGCGGCTACACCACGTCTAGACAGAGTTCTGTTCATTTCTTTTAATATGTAAGATCCTCCTTTTGTTTGTCTCTCAACAACAAAGGGACCTAAGTATTGTGGTTTTGTTTTGCAACTCAATTCATATTCAATCTGAGTGTTGCGGACTAAAACTAGATCACCAGGATCAAATGATTTCTTATGCATCCTGAGGTGATACTTCTGTTCAAACTGAAGCTTGGATTCAAATCTTGCCTTCTTTAATGTCTTTGCGGCTTGTCTCAAGTCTTCAGGTCTTCTTTCGATTTGACATATTCGTAGTGTGAGGAAATCAACGGGATGCATATTCTCGTGAAATCCTTCAACAAGGAATGTAGCTTCACTAAGGTCGAAAGGCAGAACGGGATGTACTCCATGTAGGAGGTAGAATGGTGAGAATCCGGTTGCATGGCTTGTGGTGATATATTCGGCAAAGAGCGCTTGAGGAACTTTCTCAGGCCAATGTGAGATATGTTTTCCACAACTTTTTACTATTGCTTCTCTGATATTGAAATGTCCACGTTCAACTACCCCGTTGGCTTGCAAATTGTAGGGTGAAATTTGAATCTGTGGAATGTCCACTTGCTGAAGTAACTTCTGAAATGCTCCTTTAACTTTGGAGCCATTATCTGTGACAATCTGTCCTATGGTGCCATATCGGCAGTACAAGTCTTCCCAGAAGAACTTGGCCATAGCTTTGGAAGATGCAGATCGCAATGCTCTACCTTCTACGAATCGTGAAAGATCGTCTCGAGCTAACACTAGATGCTTCAAACTGCTCCCGGCTGGCATCTTGAGTATGTCAATATAAATCTTTGTAAAAATGGTAGCTGGTGTAGAGATAGTGATAGGTATGTGCATTTTCTTAATGGTTCAGACTTGACACTCGTGACAAGACTGCACGTGGTGTTTAACGTCGGTATACATGTGAGGCCAGAAAAATCTGTAATGTATTGTCTCAAAGGTGGACTGGACACCTTTGTGGCCTAAATCTTCATGTGCTCCTGTAAGTATAGAAATTCGCTTATCTGGTTCGAAGATTACAAGTAAGGGAGGTCTATCTAGTAGACGTTTGTACATTCTCCCCCTTTGTATGAAAAACTTGGTTGTGTGTTTAACGAATTTTCTATGCTTTGCTGTACTATCAAAGCTTGGAGCTTCTAAGGTTGTGAGAAATTTGTAGATGTGTGTCAGTGTCTGCTCTTGATCAGCAGCTGAGAGGAATGTGGATGGTAGCTCAGTTGAGCTATACGGAAGTGTGGATGGTGTTGTGAAAGATGCAAATAATGCTATTTCATCTAGCCAAGAGTCATCTTCAGGAATGATTTCTTCATCTGAGGCTAGAGGGCATCTAGATAAGCCATCTGGGCCTTTAAAACTGGTGGCGGGTACGTGATGAAGTGTGAAGTCAAAAGAAGGATTCCTTGAATCCATCTATTGATTATTGCGTTAGGTTGAAGGTCGGGCTCGTTAAGCATCCCCTTAATGTATTTAGCATCAACTTCAACATGAAGGTTTTGTACTCCAATTATGTGGAGTCAATAATGTTGTAAGGCTCGGAAAAGTCCGTAAAGTTCCAGCTTAGGTTGTGAATAGCATGATTCTGCTTCTCCCATCGGTAGAGAACCATATCGAGCTGGACGTCGTTTTCCGTCATCATCAATTTGTGAGAGAATGATTCCTACGGCTATGAAGCTGGAATCTACTGAAAGGTATACGGGATTTGAAGAGGTATAGTCAATGCTTCTCATTGCTGGTGCAGAGCATATACGTTCTTTCAAAGTTTCGAATGCGTAGTCTTGTTTCTCTCCCCAAATAAAAGGGGCATCTTTTTTCCAAAGCTGAGTAATAGGTTTAGCCAGCTCGGAAAATCCTAGTATCCAGATATGAACTGTCCCACCAAGTCCCATAAATCCTCGTGCTTGTTTGACTGTTGAGGGGATTGGCCAATTCAAAATCTTAGATACTTTCTCTGTGTCAGATAATCTTCCTTCCGGAGTGCATCGTTGTCCAACTATGAGGACGTCAGGAAGGCATAACTGTATTTTAGTGGCAGAAAAAGTGGCACCAACATCACTTATACAGTGCATAATTTGGTGAACATCATTAGCATGTTCCCAAATAAATTGTCTCATCCCTGAGTTTTCTTCTAATACTTCGGGATTTCCTTCATTGTCTGGGTAGATTGTCTTTGGTCCTTTGACTAGAAGGTCATCTATGAAAACATTTGCCACATGGGGAATTTCGTCCTGCAGTACGAAGCTCGTGCATTTCTGAAATTCTGCAGGTGCGTTTGTGTATCCCATTGGTAATGTGGTTAAACGTAGCAATCCTAAGGGGGTTAGGAAAGCTGTAAGGTCTCTACTATCTGGGTGCATTTTACGTGCATCAAATCCCCAGAATAAATTGAATACGGTATAACACTGTGCCCCAGCAAATGATTCTACAAAATCATCTACTATAGGGATCAGTCCAGCATCTCGAATAGATATCTTGTTAAGTGGTTGAAGATCATGAACCAGTCTCAATTTACCATTCTTTTTGAGCACACAGAACCATTGAGAGCGATAAGCAGATTGACTCGGTTCGTATACTCCTGCATTGATTTTTGATTTGAGTAGTTCAATAACCTTTTGACGTATCCCAGGAGGGATAGGAATGTTCTTGTATTCCCAGGGGGAATGAGGTACAGTTGGAATGATATAGGGGGTGAAGTAAGATTCTTTGAGGGTACCCCTATCCGTTTCCTCAAAAGCAAGGGTGTCTTGGTTTAGATTCATAATATGTTTGAAAAGTTTCTCCTCTTTGGGCCAAAGGAATCTGTGTGGATTTATTTTAAGGCCATCCATACGCTCTTTGGATAGTCGTCCACTAGGAATAAACTTGGGAGGATGCGGGGTTATTGGTATTAAATTGCAGAGAGGGTTGTGTGGAAAGTGTCGATCTACGCGAGCTTCCTGAGGAAAGGTTCCTGATACAGGCTTGACTTTCTTATCAACCCTCTTGTACATAGTTAATACTGGAGAGTTCTCAGGTTGATCAGTAGGTTCACATAAAATAAGGACATCAGACTTGCTATCGGTATCATGTTCAAAGTCTGAGTCTTCTGGGTAGATAGATTCTGAAAATTTAAGTTTTTTTGGTTCATTTTGCTTTGGATATTTTGTAAGTCTCTCGTAGCACTCAGCTATAGTCTCTCCTTCGAGTAGATCTTGAGGATAGACTAATATCTCGGTGCTCGAGGCTTTTCTGAGAATATCTGAAGCACTTAGACAGAAATATTGATTTTTTTTAAGCTTAGGAAGTTCGGACAATTTTACGGACCACAAAAGACTTGAATTACAGAACTGGTAACTCGTATCTAAAGCTATCACTTCTTGACTTTTACACCTACTCCTCATAGCATTACAAACAAACACAGAAGCCTGCGTTGTAGTTTTTGTAAGTAGATAAGACCACTAAAAATCAATACAAGCAAGAATAAACACGCAAAGCGAGACACTGATAAGACAATAAAGACGAGAAAAGTGATATAAATACATAGGCAGTCAATCGAGAGAACGAGGGTCTGTTTTTTGAGGTTATAGGTTTGTCGAGGCCGAAATAAAAGAGTTGAGATGGAATTAACCACAATAGACTCGAAAATGAGGTCGAAAATCTGAAAAAAACGAGTCGAGAATAACGAGATGTCGATTTTACTGGAAATAAATTGAATAAGTGAAAAAACGGGTATCAAAAAGAAATAGTTCACCTCTAGAAAGCTAGAGAAAGAACTTTTTCGATTTAGACTTTGGCTCCTGTTCCTCTTCTTCCACGATGTCTGAAAGGACATACCATTTATCAGAGAGGAACGGGTCTTCAAACATTTTGGACCGAAAGGGTGAAGTGGCCACAGTAACAAGTCTGGTTTGAGCAATTCCGAGTACAAGGTCTCGGTCGAAAGCAAGGCATAAGATATCGTGCACGGACCCTACATCTAGAAGACGGGATTCTGTAAGCACGCTGATAGTGTCTTCATCGGGAAATGGCATGAGCAGGGCATCAATGATTACTGAGGCGAACTCGGACTCTCCATGTGCTTCGGCAACAGTGGCATAGGAGTTAAGACATCTAGCCTCGCTCTCCAAAAAAAATGGATTGACGTCGTCATAGCGTCCCGAGTACGTTCTGTTAGTTAGACCACCTTTAATATGCAAAAGGTTGTCACATTTGATGTTTTCGGCTCAAGAGGACGCTTCGGCAAGCATGCGAGTAGATAAAACAGTCTCGACGACGTGAATCAGATTTCGAGTGTGAGCACAATGGTCTGTGAGCTCCCGAACGCGTTCTTGCCAAGTCCGTCCTGAGCGAGGACCTCCAGTAGGGAGCTTGACTCCCCCAGGGATAACAGGGTGCCCAGGATAAGTCCCGTCTCGGAACATATGAATATTCCAATCATTAGAAATAATCTCGTCTTGGCAGAAGCAATAGGACTCAATAGCATTCACAACATTAGGAATATAGACTGAGTGATAGTCGTTGTAGTTCTCGTTTCGGATGTTAGATATTCTTCGGCTTCGGTCTTAGTAAGACCTTCGAATGAAATGACCGCTTTACCATCCGCGTGAGCTAGTCCTTGATAAGGGATGGTACCAGCAGTTGGATTAGGTGGGGGTGGGGTCAGGTTATGCATGAAAATGTCTTCGCATTCAGCACCTTTCAATTCTCTCATGCCAGGCTTACACTGGGTGCAGGATCTATCTTTTCTGGTGGAAAAACTGTGAAAAAATTGAATGAAAAAGACAAAATTTGTCTTCCATTTTCTTTTCCTAAAAAGTATGAAACAAAAAAATAATTTATCTCAACATTGTCAATGGCATAAATTGTGAACAAATTAAAATTTTCTACATTCAATTTGTTCATGATGGATTAAATGAAAAAGTATAAAGTGATGTTCCAATTTGTAGTTGAACAAAATCATATACAAATTGAAAGCAATCTGAGTCAAGATTCTTTCCAAAATTTTGTACTGGAAACATTGTGTCACGAGTTCCAAATACAAACCATTATTCTTACTTGAACACTCGTAAAACACCCTTTAAGCGCCCGTCACAAGTGCCTGTCGTTAGCGCTCAGTCAGCGTCTGTACCCATAACCTTTACAAACCCTAACCCGAACCCATCCTTTACATATCCGAACTTCTCTATTCCATTAGCGCCTACTACCTTTATCTCCGACATTCCCGATTTCGACTTTCTTTCACAAGCGATCAAATCACATGACTCTAGAACCTTCGAGAACCCTTGCACAGCAATGACACGTTTCATGACATCATAGGTGTAATTATATTTAGATCATCGTATGATTCCTTTTTCTATTTAATGATTGGCTAGTTAGTTCAGATTCAGATTCAGTCTCCGTTTCAATATATGTATATAGGTAGTTCGTTGTAGTCAGTAGTTCTTTAGTTCAAACCTCTTTTGTATTAGCTTACTGCTAGCAATCCTAAGACGTACCTGCTATCCTCTATCCTCTTGTTGTGATATCCTTTGTTTGAGTCCTAGTCTCTGCCCCTACGTTAATTCGTTATAAGGGTTGTGACACATTGAATGAAGAAACAAAATATTTCTGTATCATTTGTCTGATGGAAAAGAATGGACAACATCAAGACCAGGGAACCATTTCAATGTTTCTTGACAGTCTCTGGCTAAAAAATCAAGACAATATTGTGACGTTGTGTCACAATAAATATAATATGTGTGCAATGGAAAAACAAAAGACAAATTGAAAGCAAAATATTACAATTTGCCCAGGATTTGGAAATGAGAAAAAACAAGAAGCAATTGAACTGGAAAAATTGTAAACATCATTTCACATAAGTGCTCAGTTTTCACAAAATGAAAAATTGAGAAAAATTGAAAAGAATTTCAGCTGTGATGCATTGTAACTGGTCAATTCAGATACAAATGACATGTGATGTCACATGAGGAGAACAGCATAATATGACAAATTAAAATGAGCACTTGGAGTGTGTTTGCAGGCTCTATGCATTGTTTATGTTCAAGTTCCAATGTCCAATGTCCTGTAGCCAATGTCTATTTTCCTATAGTCAATGTCCTATGTTGAATGTTCCATAGCCAATGGCTGATGTCCTGTGGCCAATGTCCAATGTCCCGTAATGACCTGTAGTCAATTTCCAATGTCCCATGACCAACGGTCAATGTCCCTGGTCGATGTCCAATGTCCCATAATCAATGTCCAATGTCCTGTAACCAATGTCCAATGTCCAATATTCAATGTCCAATGTCCCATGGCCAATGTCCAATGTCTCAGATTCAATGTCCAATGTCCTGTAATGTCCTGTAGTCAATGTCCAATGCCCCGTAATCAATGTCCAATGTCCCATAATCAATGTCTAATGTCCCGTGGCCAATGTCCAATGTCCTGTAATATCCCTAGTCAATATTCAATGTCCTATATTCAATGTCCAATGTCCCATGGCCAAAATCCAATGTCCTGTAATGTCCCATAGCCAATTTCAATGTTCTATATTCAATGACCAATGTCCCATAGCCAATGTTCAATGTCCTGGAATCACTGTCCAATGTCTGGTAGCCAATGTCCAATGTCCTGTGGCCAATGTCCAATGTCCAATATTCAATGTCCAATATCCAGTAGCCAGTGTCCAATGTCCCATAGCCAATGTCCAATGTCCAATGTCCAATGTCCCTGGTCAATGTCTATGGTCAATGTCTACTGTCCCATAGCCAATGTCTGATGTTCTAGAGTCAATGTTTAATGTTCCCGGTCAATATCTGATGTCTTATAACCAACATCTAATTTCCCTAGTCAATGTCCAATGTCCCATGGCCAATGTCCAATGTCCTGTAAAAGCTAGGAAGCAGAACTTTCTTACACTTCCCTATGGCTTAGTTATATTCCCACACCCTGACTCATAATACAGCAATTACATGAAAATCCACAAACATTGAGACACTTTAGGCTGTACCTCTGCAGCTCAGAGTAATATATCCAACATCCTACCAGAATCATGTCAAATACCATCAACTGCAAATAAAAGGCAGCAGCTTGTTCCAATCACCATGTACACCTCTGTAAAAGCTCAAAGGTCAGCATAGCTGTGCAATGACTGTCACAGTTGTTCCTCACAAATGAGAAATCATTGTGGCTCACATACCAAGGGATCCACCATACAACAGGTGTTGTGTTGTAGAAGATGTAAAGTATCAGTGGCTGTAGGACATTAGACACTTCACATTACATTGGTCAGTGGTCATGGAAGATTAGATATTGACTAGAGGACATTGAACATTGCTGACATTCACTATATAGCATCAAACATTGGCTACAGGGCATTGGACATTAACTATATTGGCTACAGAACATTGGACATTCCTTACGGAACATTGGACATCGGCCACAGGACATTGGACATTGGCCATGGGACATTGGACATTGAATATTGAATATTGAATATAGGACATTGAATATTGACCAGCGACATTACAGAACATTGGACATTGGCCACAGGACATTGGACATGGAATATTGAACATTGGACATTGGTTACGGGACATTGGATATTGGTTACAGGACATTCAACATTGGTTATAGGACATTGGACATTGGTTATGGGACATTGAACATTGGCCATAGGGCATTGGACATTGATTACAGGACATTAGACATTGCCCACTGGACATTGGACATTGGCCACAGGACATTGGACATTGAATATAGGACATTGAACATTGACTAGGGACATTACAGGACATTAAACATTGAATATAGGACATTGAACATTGACCAGGGACATTGGACATTGGCCACGGGACATTGAATATTGAATATTGAATATTGGACATTGGACATTGGACATTGATTATGGAACATTGGACATTGGTTATGGGACATTGGACGTTGAATATAGGACATTGAACATTGGCTATGAGACATTCCGAGACATTGGACATTGGCCACGGGGACATTGGACATTGAATATAGGACATTGAATATTGGCCATAGGACATTGGACATTGACCAGGGACATTAGACATTGGTTACGAGACATTGAATATTGAATATTGAACATTGGACATTGGTTACGGGACATTGGACATTGAATATAGGACATTGGACATTAGACATTGGACATTGAATGTATGACATTGGTTACGGGACATTGGACGTTGGTTACAGGACATTGGACATTGAATATAGGACATTGAATATTGACCAGGGACATTACAGGACATTGGACATTGATTCCAGGACATTGAACATTGGCCATGGGACATTGGACATTGAATATAGAACATTGCAATTGGCTATGGGACATTACAGGACATTGGAGTTTGGCCATGGGACATTGGACATTGAATATAGGACATTGAATATTGACCAGGACATTCCAGGACATTGGACATTGGCCACAGGACATTAGACATTGATTATAGGACATTGTACATTGAATATTGGACATTGGACATTGATTATGGGACATTGGACATTGGTTATAGGACATTGAACATTGAATATCGGTCATTGGACATTGGCCACGGGACATTACAGGACATTGGACATTGGTTATAGGACATTGGACATTGGTTACGGGACATTGGACATTGAATATAGGACATTGAACATTAGTTATAGGACATTGGACATTGGCCATGGGACATTGGACATTGACCAGGGACATTAGACATTGGTTACAAGACATTGAATATTGAATATTGAACATTAGACATTGGTTACGGGACATTGGACGTTGAATATAGGACATTGAACATTGGCTATGAGACATTCTGAGACATTGGACATTGGCCATGGGATATTGCACATTGAATATAGGAAATTGAATACTGGCTATAGGACATTGGACATTGACCAGGGACATTAGACATTGCCCACTGGACATTAGACATTGGTTACGAGACATTGAATATTGAATGTTGAACATTGGACATTTGTTACAGGACATTGGACATTGAATATAGGACATTGAACATTGACCAGGACATTGGACATTGGCTATGGGACATTATGGGTTATTGGACATTGGTCACGGGACATTACAGGTCATTGGACATTGGCCATGAGACATTGAATATTGAATATTGAACATTGGACATTGATTATGGGACATTAGACATTGAATATTGGACATTGGACATTGGCCATGGCACATTGGACATTGATCAGGGACATTGGACATTGACTAAAGGACATGAGACATTGGCTATGAGACATTGGAAATTGGTTATGAGACATTAGACATTGGCTATAGGATATTAGACATTAAATATAGAACATTGAATGTTGGCCATGAGACATTGAACATTGACCAAACATTGACCGGGGACATTGGATATTGACTACATAAAATTAGACATTTGGTACAGGACATTAGACATTGACAAGGGACATTGGAAATTGCCCACGGGAGATTGGAAATTGCCCACTAGACATTGGACATTGCTTACGGGACATTGGACACTAGTCCAACACCCGTTGTGCCTTCAGCACAGGAAGCAAAAGGAGCACTTCGCACCCCTTTTTGGCTTCCTGGCCTTGGCTGCATCCTAATATAATCAATGAGAATTTGAATGAGAGAACAGGGGAATGGGGGAATGGGCCAAAGGTGTGAGCGGAGTGAGCACTTTTGGTCAGTTACCCCATTCCCCTGTTCTCTCATTCAAATTCTCATTG